CTCTTTTGCCAAAAAAAAAAAAAAATAAATAAATAAAGCTTATCACATGGGACGAAGCGTCATTGAAGCTCTATCTAATATTAACATTGGTAGTAAGGTTTTTATTCCACAAATGTTATTGAGTCATTCCGATGCCATTTAAGTTTCAACGGAAGCAACTTTCGGTTATGGTATGTTTTGCGATGTCTATTAATAAGAGTCAGGGACAAACATTATCTAATGTTGATCTGTATCTACCAAAACCTATTTTCAGTCATGGACAACTTTATGTTGTCATATCTAAAGTTAAAGAATAGAAAGACATGAAAATTTTGTGCTGCGACAATGATGAAAAAATTGTAAGTAGAGCTAATAATGTTGTGTACAAAAAAGTTTTTGAGAATTTAAAATAAACTACCAATGTACAATAGTTTTTGTTTTATAAAACATCCATTTATTATTTTTTAATATACTTAGAATAACAAAATTCTTTTACCTTTTTTGTTCAAAATTATTTTTTTATGCACCCGTATAGTACACTAGTGGGTGTCGTACTTGTTACTATTACAGTCCAAATAAAAAAACCTCGCTACAAATTGTACGCTGGCGCAAGTCAATAAATAGACCAAATTCAATGAATTTAATTTACAACAATTAGTATGAAACGATTTTTACGGGAATAATGCTATAGGTACATCCCCTATATATTAATCCAGAACGCGCTGAGCTTACGTGACTGTTTCTGGTGTTTCGGAATTCTAAACAAAATTACATGCTTCGTTATTAGGCTTGGGTAAATTTTAATTTAACCAAACCAAAAATAATTAGGTTCGGATTACCATAAATATGTTACTTAATTATTTATGGCCATGTTACATGTATTAATTGCATCATTCCTTATTATAACTATTGAATTGTATAAATATTTTAAAAGTTAACAACTTTTGTATTTTTTTATCAGTTTTACATATGTAATATATCAAATTAATCTTCTTTTGATGACCTTCGATTTAACATCTATATTGTATGTATAAAAAAATAATTTATATTTATCTTTATAATAATAATAATTTTTTTTAATAATAATTAGAAAAAATAAAATTATTTAGCAACTAATATATTTATATTTCAAGTATGATATAAGTTATAAAAACTAATATAATATAACACATGTAAGTCATAAGTAGCACTATCATTCTAAAATATATAGTAATATATTTTATTTTAAAAATTAAACTAAATTTAATATAGTTTCTCATTAATTTTAAAATTTAAGAATAATTTTTTAACAAGCACCCGTGTAATACACGGGTGTTGTACTAGTAATATTGTACATAGGATGCTATATATAGGAGATTTGAAATATACCAACACTTAATGTGGAAGAATGTTTTTAGAGTTTTATATCTTAAAATATTATATATGATTACAATTTTGTCACTATAAATATATCAAACATAAAAATTTTGAGTCTCATCATTTTTTTTAAATAAAAACACTCGTTCTTCTTCAGTAGTATCCTCCTTATATATTATTCCCGAATGCGCTGAGCCTACATGGCTGCTTCTGGTGCTTCAGAATCTTACTTGATAAAGAATTATACTTCGTAATTAGGTTTGGACAAATAATATTGATATATTAATAATTAATAATCTAGGTTTGGACATTCCATAAATATTAAATAGCTAACTTAGGTATTTTATTACACTTGTACTAATATAACCCTTTAATTCTTTGTAATTTTACATAGTGAGACAAGTGACTAATATATCCTTGACTTTTGATTTGTTTCTTTCATTAGTTATTTAATTGTAAATGTATCTTAAAAGTTGATAACTTGTGTATTTCTTATCGGTTTTACATATATAATATATCAAATTAATCATCTTTTGATGATCTTCGATTTGACATCATATTGTATATATGAAATAAATAAATTATATTTATCTTTATAATAATAAAAAATAATAATATTTATTAAAATTCATTAGAAAAATAAAATTATTTCTCAATTGATATATTTATGTTTAATATAGTTATATGTTGTAAGTTATGAAATTATTATAATATAACACAAGTAAGTCGCACAAATAAAAAAAGTGTCATACTAAATATATAATAATATATGTATTTTTATAGAAGGTATTTAAATTTTCAATTATTTTTTCTCATTAATTTTAGATTTTAAGAAAAATTAGCAAGCACCCGTGTAATACACGGACGTTGTACTGATAAATAATATAAACATAGATACAGATGTATTAATGCGCTAAATTTAATTTTATGTCTATTAATATAGACAACTTGTACGGGAAGAGGCAATATAATGGATTCAAATGGGGTTTTTCCTCTAGCATTAATTTATTGAAGGATGTTGTGCGGCTAATACAAATCAACATACATTATGGAAAAATGCTAAGTTTCTGTTACGGGATAGTACCGTCAGCATTTTTCATCGTCAGATACACATGTATGTTATGTTATGTGGATAATCAACGGTACGAAACACTGACGGAATCATTCTGTCAACGAAATCTTAGCATTCTCCTACGTTATGATCATTTTTACTTTATAGAATGAAATCGCCAACGACTTTCAAAAATATATTGCATTATGTTTCAAATATAGCTGTAGATGCCTTCTACTTTTTTTTTTTTTTTTT